GGATGCTCTCTGGGAAGAGAGCCTTCAAGTTTGACTCCCCGACTGTCACCTCAGCCCCAGTCAGCCCCCTCAGGCTCAGGTGTCTTTTAGGCCGCAGCTGCCTTCTCAGGGCTGGAGACCCCTGCGCACCCCCAGCCTGGTCTGCCCATGTCCCTCAGCATGGGCTCACTACTTCACGGCCCCAGTTATGCCCTCCTGCTTATTGCCAAAGGTTTGGCTGTGCACCCCAATCTACCTGTCAAAGGTTGCCTCAGCCCCTCCAGGCCTTAGCCACACCCTCAGGCCTGGTCCTTCCCTCCTGGCAAGACTACCCCACCACCAAACTCCTCAGCCAGGGCATCACCCTTCAGATGCCCACCTACCCTCTTAGCTGTGTCTTGCTGCCAAGGCCTTGATTATCCCTTGGTCAACTATTGATTCTATCTGACTGCCTTAAATCTGTCCTGCCCCTTTTTAAATCTAGGTCACCCACTCAGACCCAACTATCCAAAGGCCGCATCCCCCTCAGTTCCCAACTGCTCCCTTAGTTCTAGGCTTCCTTCTAACTCAGGACATCCAGTTTAGACCTCACATACCCATTCAGCCCAACTCTACCCCCATCTGCAACTTCAAGAGACTCTCTTTGTTTTTTTGTTTGTTTGTTTTTTTATCTTCTTCAACCTTTCTCAGCTCAGTTTAGCTATCCTTGCTGGTTTTGTGGGGGTTGTTTTGTGATTGGCAGGGTCTCTCTTTGTAACCCATACCCCAATCTGGACTTAAATTCTCAATCCTGAGTTAACTTCCTGAATTCTGGAATCACAGGATTGATACACAGAATACCCTTTTGCTTCTGACACACTGTGGTTGGTCTTTCCTGTCCTTTGTGCAGGTCTATAGGCACTCCCTAAGTTACCTAGTAGTTTATTGGCTAGGGTTCCCAGAGCCTTGGGTATGCAGGCAAGCTGCTCTACCACTGAGCTAAATCTCTAGTGCTTCCCTAGCTTTTTTTATTTGTTTTGTTTTCTACAAAGATTTGCTGTTATGAACCAGCCTGGACTCAAACTCATGATGCTCCTTCATGAGCCTCCCGTGTCCTCCTGTGCCATCACACCTGGCTTTTACCTAACATTCATTCATTTTTTTTTTATTTTCTGGGTTTTTTGTAGTATGCTTTTTTAAAAATTAAGATTTTTATTGTAGCACACATGCAATTGTTACACCCACATTTATATATTGTTTTTACAAGGCAGGTGGGATTAAAGGCTTGAGCCACCACCACCCAGCTATTTTTAAGATTTTATTTTTAAGCTGGGCAGTAGTGGCACATATTTTTAATCCCAGCACTTGGGAGGCAAAGGCAGGAAGACCTCTGACTTCAATGCCAACCTGGTCTACAGAGTGAGTTCCAGGACAGCCAGGGCTACACAGAGGAACCGTGTCTT